GGGGCTCGATCCCAGGACCCTGAGATCATGACCTGAGCCGAAGGCAGAGGCTTAATGACTGAGCCATCCAGGCGCCCCTAAATTATTTTAAATGTAACAAGTTTAAAGATAATAAAAACCACCATTATTCTAATTATATGAACTCACTCTTTAGACAAAAACATCTATATTATAAATTCTGTAGAAGAGCTTGAGTATCAAAGTACTGTTCTTCCCAGTAATGCATTAATTTCATAGACCTCAAAGTCAGAATTCTAGTACAACTGAAATACTTGCAGTCATGCCTCAGGCTTTTTTTTTTTTTAAATAGTTTTACTCTTTCAATTAATATATAAAAAACTTGAATTTATAATATACCCCAAATTTCAACTAATATGTGCTTACAGAAATTTATTTGAAGCTAATTTTATCAAATAAATTATGTTACAGACTTAATACAAATCGATTAGAAATTACTGAAATATTAAATGCATTAATCAAAACTAATATCCATATATACCAAATATCTTTTAAAATAGTCAATTATCATCAAATGTAAATTCTCATACAGATTTAACTGCATTTGTGTTTTTTACTCCTCAATTTTTGTTATGCTTATAAAACCTATTCCTTTATAATTGGACATTTTAATTTCAGTTAAAAAACTTGGTAATGCTTTCTTTTAAAAAAATAAAACTCAGAACTATTTTGACTGTGTATCCATTTATTGATACACATCAAACTCATAACTGGAAACTTTCATTAAATATGAACTGAAACTATTGGTGTACTACATATTTTATAGAGGACAGTATGGGTGTTTGATAACTTGAAGATCAGTCACACATACCTTATATTTTGATATCTCAAGACACTCAGTCATTCCAATATTCATTAAGTACTTACTCTATGTCAAGCACTATTGTAGGTGTTGCATTATTTTATATGTTTCAATGTTTCAATAACATAATATTTTGGTACCTTTTATGAAACTCTGGTACCTATGTGAAACTTATATATGCTCTTTTAGATTTTTCAGTCTTTTATAATTTAAATATTATCTTTCTCCCAAATATGACTATTCTATTTTATAAAGGACACGTCTATTTTTCCTTGAAATTGTATAAATATTTTATTTTTTGAAGATAATTTATAAAGTCAACCCCTATTCCCCACTTCCCCCGCTCCCTTCAACCTTTGGCTCTTGGACAACAAAGGCTAAGGTAATACTAACCCACAAAAGGTCTTTAAAAAAACAATTAAACAAGGAGAAAAACTTTCTGTCAAAATGGGTTGAGTCGTATTCCAGTCCCTAAAGGTGAGAATGGGTTCACCTTTGCCCACATCAAAGCGTCATTCAATGAGATAGTGGATTTCCCATCTTCAAGGAAAAATACAGGGCCCTGTACACAGAGTTGAGGAAAGAGAAGATGGGATTATAAATTTGCAACATGCTTTAAACTTCCAGAAACAGACTCCCTTTAATTAAAAAAAAAAACAAAAACAACACAAAAAAAAACCACTGGCAGTATTCAGACAATGCTAATAGAAAATTTTATAATATGAGAAAACTCAGATTTTTTTAACTGCTCCAAATATAGAAAAAATTTTAAATATCTTAACATTATGCCCCCATGTCTTTCAAAATAGAATTTGGTTTTATAATCTGAATTCTTTGAATATAGTAGTGCTATCAATGACAGAGGTATTGCTAATCTGCTAATTAATACTAAATTAACATCTTATAAAGACATATATATGCCCAGCCTAGATTTAAATACACTTTACTATTTTACTCATATAGCCGACATCAATACAGCTGGGGAAATCATTTAGGCCAGAAGCTCTGAAACTGCTCTCAAGAAGATGAAAAGTATATTACTGTGTATGTGTATACATAATTTAAAATCATGTCAATCATATGATGTACTAGCATATTTATGATTCAGTTACTCAGGTACTTTGCATGTCAAGGGTGGTTCTGAAGAACCAAATGCAAAAAAAGACCTTTTAATCTATTTCTCCCAAACTCTCAGAAAGAAAAAGGAAAGAAAAGCATGATTTCAAAAACAAAATGAACTAAGAACTAATCTTCTTAATTATTTTCTGAAGTTATCAGATTTTTAATCACAATTTCAAGTGATACAGCTTGTTGTTACTAAATCATGTCTAGACATTGGAAAACCCATCATATGAAGTGGACTGCTTCCTACTCAAAGATACTTGATATTTCACAGTTAAAACCAGAACATTAATTTTCTGTTGAGAGAAAAGATCCTGAGAGGGAAGCGCCCCATTTACATTAGTCCTAGCTGATAATTAGTAGGTCCTTTCCTATTGCAGGTTTGGATGCAGAGAGGTGAGGCAGCATATCTGCTAGGTCATTTGGCTACTGCAGATGGAATGGAGAAAAAGAACCTGAAGAGGGGAAGAGAAACAGGAAGGTGCAGCAGGAATACGAAGGAAGAGAAACAGGAAGGTGCGCTAGGAATACGAAGGAAGAGAAACAGGAAGGGGC